GTTCACCTGGAATGGAGAAATTAGGTTCCTCCCCTGGGACTACATCTTCCCAGTCTGCAGCCACCGTGGCCGCTGGCTGTGTTGGTTTGGGGATTCTGGGAGATGTAGTCCAAAAACGTAACTTTCCCACTTTCAGCGGAAACCGATAATACCGATTTCACAGGACACACCCTCTAATATCTTCGGCCAGGGCAAAACTACCTTGGAATGTCTAAGGCCCATTCTTGCTCTGTATCCAGACCTCCCCAGGTTTCACAAATGGATACTGTATTGTGTGTATTACAATAAATACATGTCAAATGTACAGAAAGGGGTGGCTCTTTCGCAAACATATCTCTTTGTCTGTCTGAATTTTATATGTGTGTGGGGGCTGAGACCGAGAGGAAGGCCTCCTCCCCTGATGAGCTTCACACCCACGATGGCTCGTAAAGGGAGATGCAGCCCTTGAGATAGCTTGGACCCTTGGGTTTTTGCTCAGCCGAAGTTGCTTCGTTAGGTTCTCCTTCCCGGTATCCACATGCTGGACAATGCCAGTCAAGTTTGGAGAAAAGCCAGAGCAGTTTCGTGGCACTCAGTGCTTACTCCAGAGGATAACTGATTGACAGATCCCCCAGGTATTTGGCATCACACAGCGGTGGTGATGAAAGACTCTGAAAACAGGGCTGGGGCTGGGGTGGGGAGGATAAGAATCAGGTGCAGCATTTTGGAAGAAAGCACAGAAATGGGGAGCCAGGATGCTCAAGTGGCGAGAGCAGCTCCCGTGTGAAGGTGGAGGTAATCCTTTAGGACTTTCGTGGGTGACAGGACTGGGCAGCATAAAGGCAGGGGTGCCACAAGATGCCACGATTCCTAATCACTCAGGAAGGGGTGGGGTGGGGTTTGGAATCACACAATTTCACCCTTTGGAGAAGTCCTCACTTGAGAAATGGTCACGGAGCTTAGAGAGTTTATTCTCTCGTAATCTGGACAGTTATCATTACGTGGTCTTAAAAGGGAAAGGGATGACCTCTCCTTGTAGAATGGGCATCTCCTGGATCCCTGGATGTCCTTGGACTGCAAGTCCCATCAGCCCTGCCCCGTACAGCCCGTGGTCAGGGGTGATGGGGATGGCTGCCCGTCAGCCTCTGGAGGAGCAGAAAGCATCTCCCCATCTCTTGGTGCTGCTAAGATGGACAAAAGCTGCTTCTTACAGTCACTCAGAGAAGCTTCTCCTTTCTGTCACCAAAGGTGTTACCTTTTCCGTTAACCAGAATCAGCCCCTTTACCATCATCCAGAAGCCCAATGCATTTACAAAGGTGCAGCTGGTGCTTTCGCTTTTACGAATCTAGGCCATCAAAAGAAAAGAAAAATAAAAGTGCTCTAATGGAATCTAGCAGAAGGTGATGCACTTTGGAGTGACAGACAGACAGACAGACAGATGTGTTTCTTCTGTGCCTCCAAGTCAGAACCAACCTACAGCAGCCCTAACAGGGATTTCAAGATCAGTGAGAGATTTAAGGAGTGACTCCAGCACTTAAAGAGGCAGGGAGAGAACTGTTGAGGTCAATGAGTGTGGCAGGACTCGAACCCGGGTCTGCCCTAGTCGAGCACCACATTATCTCTCTGGCCCAGCTAACCGTCCCTGATCTCACCTCTCTCTTGGGCAGATGTCTCTTTTCTCCTGGATCCCAGGATTTAAAAAACGACCGAGGAATCAGGTGAAGCTTCCGGGACCCGACAAAGACGTTTGCGAGGAGGAAAAGACACGTTGTCAAGAGTTCTCGGGTGAGTGGATGGGGTGATGCTCAACATGACTGCGGAATGAGTTAAATGGATCCATCAACTCTGGGTTTCACACACACCCCACCACCACCACCCCCGCTTGGCTTGTTGATTTCTCAGTGTACAGCTAAAACAACCACTTGCTCTCCTTCAAACGTGTTGGCCTACAACTCCCCTTCTATCCTCCCCTGTCAAAATCGAACAGGGGGCTGGACTTGCTGGCCTTAGAGGTCCCTTTCCAACTCAATTATTCTATTTATTTTCCAATCCAGAGCCTGGAAACCGAGTTTCAATCACTCCCATCATGTTATGATTTCCCCCAAGTCCCCACTTGGCCAACAGAAGAAAGAAACGGGGCGGAAAACTTTGTGTGGGCAGGAGCGGATGGTGAAGCATGGGGTGCTTTTCTGGAAAAGGCCAAATATTTAGCACCTCCTGGCTCTGCGGCCTTTTGCTCCAGACCCACCACCCACTCCTGTCCGCCCGAGAGCAATAAACAATGGTTCGGTGGTTCGTGCTTGTTTCGTCCTTTGGATGAACGGGTGTTCAGCGCTTCTCGATCTCGCCTTCTCCGGCGAGTGCCCACTTGGAGGCCCTGCCCCAGTTTCCCTGCTCTGCCTCCTCTGGGCACTGCCCCTGAGTTGGCACCTGTTGGAGGAGACACGGCTGGGAAGCGTTGAACACCCAGTTCTCCCAAAGGAATTTGTGCCCATCTCTTGCTCCTGTTCCCTTGGAAATGCTGGTGGCTGGGGTTTCGCTTCCCTCTCTGGTAAGTTCAGGTCACATGAGCCGGACATACGCCGAGGAGAGGAAGACCTGGGTCTGAGCACATGGTAGCCACTGGGATTCCATGCCGAATCCACCAGCTTTTGTTTAGCTAGAGGTAGTGTGCGCGCGCACGCACACACACATTTGTGCCCTTCCAGCCGCAAATCCCAGTGGATGAGGTCACACCCTTCCAACAGCTCATTTTTTGCAGCCTCCGAATGTTGGCACCCTGGCTCAAACCCCTGGCCAACCCACCCCTCGTTTTGGCTCTGTAGACAGGACCTCCGTTATCTCCTTGCTCCTGGAGAAGCAGGGTGTCTGTACACCACAGAATTGTTCAAGGCTCTGAATATCTGCTTGCAGGTCACCCCGCCTTCCGCAGCCCTCAATCCGGTCCTGACTCCTCTTCTCCGCATCCAGGGCCAGGCAATGCAGTCCTCCAGAACTATCTGGCCAAAGGAGAATACCCTCCTTTTAAGTCTCCTGCCATGTTCGAGAGCGCATTTGTGCAGGTAAGTGTGTGAGAGAGGAGAGATGTCTGGGCATCCGTGATGGCATTCCAGCCTGACAGCTCCCAGGAACTGACCTTCTTTCTTCTAGGACTCCACCCTTCACAAACAATAGATCAGAGGTGGCGATAAAGCTGGTTCTGAATCCACCTTGGTTGGAAACAAGATGCCGGACTAGAAGGGTCCTGGAGCATTATCGCCATCATCTCAGAACCAAGTTCATCGAGTCCACCCCCCACTCTGTTCTAGGAGAGCTCCTTCTCCTGCCTCATTCGACCCTTCTCAGACCCTTCTTGGTGTCCACTCTCTTCCCAGGTCTCAAGGAAGGGCAAGCCCGTGTTCTTCCATAACCATGGCCATGAGGCCATCGTCGGCATCGCTGCAGATGACATGAAGCTGCCGTTGCCCAACATGATGTTCATCGCCCGTCCGGTGGTGATGCGGCTCTCCCGGGGACCCCCTAAGGAGGAACTAATACTCACCAGGTAAGCACCAAGTCTAACAGCAGCTACGGAGGAGACAACAGTCTTCTTTGGTAACAGAAGCAATGGAGAAAGTCAGCACATCCCTTAAGGGCCACAAAGGACAGGTGAGGAAGTAAGGACCAAGAGGCATTTATAGTTACAGTACACTGCTTCATACATTATTGACATTTTCCTGCCAAACCACAACTGCCCATTTCTTCTGTCAGTTTGAAATAAATAGCAAAGAAAATAAATAATGGGTTGTGCTTGCTTTTAGGCAGTGAGATTGACTGCGCTGACAAATATGGCAATACCCCCCTTCATGTTGCTGCTAGATATGGCCACGAGCTGCTAATTAGTACTTTGATGACGAATGGTGCTGATACTGCAAGGTGAGGACCTGTTTCTTAAACTTGTGTTTTAGAGGAAAGATGACTACACGTCCATGTTGAATTTTACATATGCTGTGTTACCACTCTTGGCACATATAAGCAGACTGAATGCTATGACAGATGGGTGTTTGGTTTTGGCCTTTTAAATGAAATAATCAACTGACCTTTGTTACCAGTTGCAGATGTATTATTTAGACATATGGTTCTTTGGAACTGCCTGATACAGAACCAAAAGGGGTAAACAGGGTTGATTTTACTGGCAGGGGCTAACAATCAAATCTGTTTCTTCCGACCCATGGGTTCACTGTGCATTTAGGAGGAACATATTTATTTGAGTGACTGTTTGATGTATATACCACCCCATTAGTGCAGGCATTACTCTAAGCAGTTTACAAGTTCAGAGTTACAAGTTACACACGGTTAGGGACCATCAGCCAGCCTGCTCTGTGGTGGTGAAAGTAGCGATGAAGGCAAAGAAGCATTTGTTTTCTGCCTCCACTGGATTCTCAAAGCATCCTCCTTGTCGAGACTTTTCGGTCTGTTCACTGCCTTCTTGCAAGCCGTTCAAAAGAAAGATCCTAGACTGCTGGATGTGATTGGTCCGTAGGGGGTACTTTGAGGGCCGTTTTGCTCTGGTCGGCCACAGCTTGGCCAAGCAGCTACGCCAACCAGATGGCAGGATTGTCTAGCACACGGGATGAGTTTCGCTTGCCGAATCTTGATCGTGTGACTAGAGAACTTGGTTCTGTCCCCTCCAGTCCTGGGCCCTCTTCATCCCTGCCCATCAGGTTGATCTCAACCAGCAGACCTGTCCTAAGGGCTTGAATTCAAGACGGTGGCTTTCTTGGAAGATGGCTGCTTACTAATGCATTTAAAAGAAGTCGTGTTTTGGTAAGAAGAATCAGGAAATAACTTCAGAGGAAGTAGAAAGGAAGCCTACAACCACCAATCTGCATTAGATTTAGATGTTTCCTTCTCTGAGGGATCCTTGTGGCACAGTGGCTAAACTGCAGTACTGCAGCTAAAACTCTGCTCATCATTTGGGTTCAATCCCAGGTTCAAGGCTGACCTAGCCTTCCATCCTTTTGAGGTCAGTAAAACTGAGTATCCTGCAAGGTGAGGAGGAGGACAGTGTGTAGCCTTCATAATTAAATTGTGAACCGTGAACCACCCAGAGGGTGCTTTCAGCGCTATGGTGTCATATATAAGCAGCCCTTTTCCCCCCTTTCTTTCCTGTGTTCCCACTGCAGGCTCATTCCTTTGAGATTCGTAGCCTTCCATCCTTTTGAGGTCAGTAAAACTGAGTATCCTGCAAGGTGAGGAGGAGGACAGTGTGTAGCCTTCATAATTAAATTGTGAACCGTGAACCACCCAGAGGGTGCTTTCAGCGCTATGGTGTCATATATAAGCAGCCCTTTTCCCCCCTTTCTTTCCTGTGTTCCCACTGCAGGCTCATTCCTTTGAGATTCGTACGGCTGGCCATTCGTGACCGAGAGAAGCAGATCATTGAAATGATCCTGATCAGTGGGCAGTCTTATTACCTTCTACTCCACCCTTCCACCAAGGAGAAAGACAACCAGTTCCGGTGCTGGTGCAAACTCATCCACCTTCTCCATCACCCACCAGCACGCTACTTCAGGCCCAAACCCATCTCCTTTACTGGTATAGACCACCAGAGCATTCCTGTTATACCAAGGGACGAGGAAGCCGTAAGTATAAAAGGAGCTTGGTGGAGTGTGTTGTTCACAAGACCAGGGAATTGGAGAGGGCTCTTGAACACTTGAGTGGCTTAAATTGACCACTGGAATCACACAAGGTCCCTACTAGCTCTGTGCAGCTCTCTGCGAACACTTCTTGAGAGTTCTTCTAACAAGAGCAGTAGACAAAATTGGGTGGGGAGAACCAAAGCGATGCTTAGATAAGAGGAGCAAATTAACCATAGCAGGAAACATGTGTTTCCTGCTATGGATACAGTAGGACCTCTGTATCTATGGGATCTGTATCCACCCTTTCAATTATCTATGGTCTGAAAATATTAAAAGAAAAAATCCAGGAAAAAATATTTTCATGTGTCTGCATTTCCTAGTATGGTTCTGCCCTAGCTGGCTGGACAGGTCAGTGGTTTAAGCATTTGGCTGCAGAGTCAGAGGTTGGGGGAAAATCTTTTGAACCAAACTTGAATTAGCCTCCATTTGCAGTTGCCAAATTAAAGAGATCCTGCCTTTTCCCAGGATCATGACACCCATAGGTTTTAAGGAGTTGGTGCGTGACAGAGAAATGAAGTGGCAACCCTAATTCTTCGCCAAAGTGCTTGAATCCCCAAAGGTTCAAACCTAGGCTTTTAAGAATTATTGCCCTCAAAGCTCTAAACCTGGAAGGAAGACTTTGCATCGTCTGGTTTCTCGTAGATTCACACACTTTTCCTCTCACCTTCTCTCTATCCTAGATAGGAAGGAAATAGGGGATTTTGGAAAACACCTATTAGAAAGAAACTGAAACTGAATGATCTCTCTTCTGTAGTGGTTTATGTTGCAGAGTTTTGCATTTTGATTAAATTCTCTCCCAGCTGCACAGCAGAAATTGAGAGATTCACAGAGCAGAATAGCCTTAAGTTGCCCAGAGTAGACCAACTCCTTTTTCTCTCTCCTTAACTGGCAGGTGCAGGAGGAAAAGGAAGAAAACAATCAGGAGCAGAAGGAGAAGGGACAGATTTCAGCCAAAACACCTCATCAGAGCGGGTTTGACATCGAGGAAGAATACACTGCCGATGAGCGCCACATTCTGGAGATAGGAGACGTCAGGACATTTAGTGAGTGGTTCCTGTACGAAAATGCTGACAGCTTTGAGACCTACGCAGGGAGCAAGACCTCAGTCAAGCCGATCAGGTGAGCTCACAGGAAGGAACCGTTGCCATTGCTTGGGCCAGACCTTAGAGGGTGGCCGTTTTGGTCATTTCTGCAAAGCTGCTTTGCCCTCTGACCCCCTCGGAGAGCTGGCTGGCTACCCCCTCCTACCAAATGTTGAATTGGATCTTGCCCCGTTGCCTGGACATGAGGGAAACAGGGAAATGGTAAAGAAATCTCTCTTGGGTAGAAGGTGGAGCCTGCCAGGCCCACTGAGTTATCCCAAGAAAGCAGCTTCTCCACTGGACTTGCCTCTCGCTTCTGCAAAGGGGCTGGAGGTGTTATCACACCTGAGGTGGAGCTGCCGGGCACCAAACACCCTAAATCCCCACCTCTCAGGAGGTTGCTCAGCAGCCGGCTACCTCTGCATGCCCATAGTTGTCACTTGGTGCAAAGGCCATTGTCCTGGACACCTTTGGAAAGGGAATGCTTGCAGGAGGAGCCGGCCATGTGCACAAGCTCTGCCTCGAATTGAGTAGGAGCTTTGTGGCTCAGTGGTTAATCTTTTTAGAATCTTCTTAGCCCTTTGGGAAGGTTTTGGGAACCTCGCGACAGAGTGGGGAGACTTGAACATTGGACCATCAGCCATGGAAATTAAAGATTTCCAATGATGACGATGTCTGATTTATGCAGGGTGACGTTACAGGAACAGGATTTCAGACCCTGTTTAATTTAGCCAAGTGGTGGTCGGGGCAGGAACGCAATAGTGCATGTGAAGCACGACATGAATACTGAGTGTTATGATTATGATTATGATTATCATTATTTCTAGGACATTCAGTTCAGCACCTGTTCTATCAGAACTAACATTTTCCAACACAAGCATGAACACAAGCAGGTCCTCGGGCCAACCACCAGCGCCTCCTGTGTTTCCAGGTTTGTTGCAAAAAAGAGAGAAGTTCCTTCTCCAGAAATGACAGAAGGACTTGATTGCTACCTTTCTGGGCCAAAGCATCCTGTCTGGTCCCCGACCCTTCCAGGGAGAGCCTCAGAGGGCGAGGGTTTCCCTTTCCATTCTTCCTGGGATTTCAAGATTCCAGACGACTCAGCTTTGTTTGCAGAGTTTGTACACGTGAAGGTGGCGGGACCAAGAGCAAGGCCTCTCCTGGCAAGGAAAACACAATCCTTGAGATCTCTTGAGCCTAAGCAGTGCCAGACTTTATAGGTTAGAGCCAACACTTTGAATTATGTTGTGAAGCATGAAGGTGAAATCTGCGGGCCGAAACCCAATGGGGCATGGCCATTACAGCAGACCGACTGAATCAAGGGCCACATTCAGGCAGGCCCACGGGCCATGGTGGTCAATCCAGAGATGAATGCATTTGAGCCCTGTTCATCTACAGAGCAGCCCAAGGCTGGATCTCACCGTCTCATCGTGTGGGGTGCAAGACGAAGACCATGGGCCATGCGACCGAAGCAAAAGAGCGGTTCAGCTCCACCCATATCTTGGGAGTCCCGGGGCCCACAGCACTATTCTAACCCAGGGGTTCCCAACCATGGGTCCCCAGATGTTCTTGGACTAAAACTCCCCAAAGCCTCCACCCACTAGCTGTGCTGGCCAGGATTTCTGGGGGTGGTCGTCCAGGAACATCCGGGCACCCAAGGTTGGGAGCCACGGATTTCAGACAGTTTTGTAACTCAGCAGAGCCTAGAAGCTGAAGGTTGGGATCCCCTGCTCTAACCCTAACCCGGGAACAGAGCAGAATGGGAAGGGGTGCACATGGGAGTGTCTCCTGATGATCATCTTTAAACATAGCTCTTTGTGCCTTGCCTTTCTTACCTCTGTGTGTTGTTTTTATTTTCAGTTCCAAAGAAAGGCGAAAACGGAAGCCTTAACATTGTCACCATCTATTCCGCCATCTCCAAAATTCTGGGGGAGAAAAATGGAGAGAGAGCAGACACTGAGCCCTGTCAGAGAGGTGTCTTGGAACAGGAGGAGCTGAGAGGGCAATAGAAGCCCCAGGTAGGCAAAGCTTTGTCTTGAGCTTCCTCTTGAAGGCTGGGAGGGAGGGGGGCTGGCGAAGCTCTTAACGGGAGCCCAGTCAAGGATGGTGCCACAAC